AGAAAATTCCAATGAGAGAATTGTGAAGACTGAATATAGGATGGGATTTGGAAATAAAAGATGCTTAATTGTTGTACAGGGTTAAGCAAACAGAGGAGACATTTGGTAGAACTGGAGACAATGTCAGTGCAAGCTTTACACCGAAAGTTGACGGTTTGCACCAGCTAGAGAGTTCTCACAAAAGTCTCAAGGTTTGCATAAGCCAGTACAAACCAAAAAAACATCTTTTAGTTCTTTGTAAATAATAGTAATGCGAAACAGACAACTTTAAGAAAAAAGTTTAAAATTTTTCTCTAACATGTATTTATGATTCATTTGCAAATTATCTTTGATTGATATAATTGATGTAGCTCAGATACGCACGTTTGTACAGGCTAATGCAAACACAGTTTAAGTTTTTATTAAGTAAATAGTGATGTCGCCATGTCGGATGAATAGCTTTAGAACATTGAGTTTTGATGTCGTTAAACATTCACGGTGTACATTAAAAAAACACAATTGATTTTATTCAACTTTCTGATGATCAGTGAAAGACTCTCAATGAAAACAAAAGGTTTCCAAAGAAATAAATGATCATAAAGTTCCGAAATTTTCATAGCGTGACTAAACTTGAGAACTGACTACGCTACTTAACACAATCGCTTTTATAGAAAATTGATCGATGGTTTTTCAAATATTAGTTGTTTATATAAATACCTTGGTAGAAGCTTTCAAACTTTGGAGGTACTTGTCTTCTTTGGCATAAGAGAAAACTTCAAGCAAAGTAGAAATGATTAAATATGGTTTATTACATTGAAACAAGAAGGAAAATTTTCTCCCTCAAATAAAAATGAAAATAACAAATTAGAAACAGAAAACATTGAGTTGTCGTACTTCATGTAAGAAAAGATATAATATCTTTTAACAAAGGCTCCTTTGATGAGGTATAAGCTTCTCTGCACTAGGTTAAATTAATTTCTCATTTGGCATTTTCCGTTTTTTGTGAAGTACTTTCAGTAACATATGTTAGTTAAGTTGTAAGGGTTACAAACGTCGGTATCTTTGGTTAAAATGGTTGAACGAGCATACAGATTTTGTTCGAGTGGTCTCCTTTGATTTTAGTAAAACCTTTGATTCAGTTTCAAATAACGTCGTAGTTTAAAATTTTTCTTTTCCAATCTGACTCCGGTTACTTGGTGTCTCTTGCCTTTTTTGTTGATCGCATAAGTTTTTATGCTTCGTGCAATTACTTAGCGACATTTTTTTCTCTTAGAAATTCAATGAACGCTTTTTTAAATAGATTATTGTGTTGTAATTTTTCTTTAGAAACTGAAATATTTTAGTATGCATTTAAAAAGAAATAAATAGTGAAAACCAACTATTTACTTGCACACTTGGCCTTTTATATTGACAACAAAAAATAGAAATATTTAAAATCACAAAATCCTAGTTTAAAGATGATTTTTATTTATCTTCAAATTGTAAAAATAGACCACCGTGATCCTTCATAATAACCTCATACTCATGCAAACTAAATTTAAAACTTGTCAACTCTAATTACCAACTTTAAAACCTGGATCATGTTTCTCCATTCTCCTCTTTTGCATTTGCCTCTTTTCCATCTTTGCAGAATGTAGTCAGTCTTCTTCTTAATTTAACCCTTTTAGTCGCGAATAGTAAAATCCTTCACATTACGAAAGTTTTAACAAGACTTGTTACTTTAAACTAAATGGTTTGAACCCGGGAGTATCGCTACATGTTTGTAAATGAAGATCGTCCAGGTTGGTATAGTCCTGAGAAGGACTGTTTTTGTTGTTGTTTACGGATGTTTCGACAACCTTGGCGGTAGTCATCTTCAGAGTCAAACTGAGCCTTGTTGACTGACGTTTCGGCAACCTTAGCGGTAGTCATCTTCAGAGTCAAACTGAGCCTTGTTGACTGACGTTTCGACAGGGCTGTTCTCGGGACTGGTATAGTCCATCAACATTATGACAAATTTTATTTTAAAAAATGAAAATAGAAAGTGAAGTTTATCATTCTTCAATATTTTAATCAAAAAAGTTTTACTCAAAAAAAATCAATTCTTAAGTTCAAATGAACTTGTGTCAAAATGGTAAAAGCTTTATTCATTAATTTTCATCTCAGTTATTTACATGACGTCATGATGATGTTTTTACATACGGGAATTGTTGACAGTATATAACATTTTCTGTCTTTAAGGTCATATGTACATAATAAACGTACAAAAATGATCTCTCACATTTTTCAACTAATGACCATAAAACCCAATGACATGACATGACATAATGATGGTGTTTTATAAATGTGAATTTTTAACATCATACAAAACTTGTTTTCACGATATTAACATGCTTAAGGTAAATTTTATTTACAGTTTTTGAAAGAATGTTCAAAGAAAGTCACTCTATGATATAAACAAAATAATCTTCATCTACAACAACACCATATTGTCAAATGACTCAAAATGAATGAGTTCTCGACGTTTAATATATAATATTATATAATAACCGGAAAATTTTGAGCAAATTCATTGCTCGAGAGCTATGATCTATAACAGGACAGATACACGGAATTCAGGTCACAGAAAATTCCTGGTTTTTAAATGACAAACGAACGGAGAATTTATTTGAATATTTACCTGAATATATCCCTGAATGGGCAAATAAAGAAATTAAGAATGCCCAGTTGAAGCATTGGACGTATTTGAGCAAAAAGAAAAGAAAAAATCCGGTTTTCAAACATTGATTTGCCCCGGCGGCTCGTGGCCACTCAGTTTTTATCACAATGACGTCATACCCGTGTATATATAACTGTATAGACAACGGTTAAATGTTATCTATTTGTTAAATAAAAATAACCAAATTATCTAACCATGCATTTTTATTAAAAAGTAAATCATCAACATGAAATTTGTTCAGAGATACAATACATAATAATAAGTTTGGCAGAGCATCTTACAGTAGTAGTCTAATCTAGAGGATGTCCTGTTTAAGGTGGTCATATACAAGTTGAAGGCACTATTTTTTCTAAAAACTCAAAATTTTTTTTTATCATTATCGGTACTTTATGCTGTGATTTTTATGAATATTCTAATCGTTTTTCGTTAAAACTATCATTTACCCACGAAAAATGCTTTCCAAGTTGTCTTCTTATAGTTTTTGTTTCATAGCAACGCCTTAGCAACGGATTTTTACCCAAATTTCACCCTAAAAACTCCCCTTCTAAAGCGAATTTTTTGTTTCTACTTTTGGTGGATGTTATTCAAAGCCTTCTCGTTAAGTTACATCGTGATTGGTTGCAATTTGGCACCATGGTAACTCTTAGAATTTCAAATCAAAGATGCGTGCTCGCATTGTTCGAAAAGTTGCTCTTCAAAAAACATTATAATTTTGTATCTCTAAGGAGAAAAGTCTTTTTGTTAGTATTTCGGACCTTTCCTTTTGTTATTACGTTAATAATCAGAGTGAAAAATAATGAGGAATAGTCGAAATAGAAAGAGAAAAGCTGTTAAAACTCCGCCATCGAAAATGGCAAAGAAGTCAAAATATGGCGGAAACAATGACGCAAATCCTGGACCTTCTGGAAAGAAAATAAGTCATCAAACGAGGAGCATTGGCGAAGCTTTTAATAATCTACACATTGCAAAAGAAGGCACCGTGTTTATGGACTTGTCTTCGCTGTTTTTCATGAAATTTTAAAATGCCCTGATTGCGAAAGCAGTGTGGAATCCCATGTTGACTTGAGGAAAAGGGAAAGCTATGCACATTATATTGTTCTTCAATGTAAGAATAAAGAATGTGAGTGGAAGTATAGTTTCAACACATTTAAAAAGCAAGGCTGTTCACACGAAGTTAATGTCCAAGTAGTCCTAGCATTTCGAGAAATGGGTTGAGGGAAAGCTGCAATGGTCACATTCAGCAAGGTCATGAATATGGCTCCACCACCAACTTGCCGAAGTTTTAAAGTGATCCAAAATGGAAAGCTATTACCAGTTGTTCAACAATTGGCCAATGACAACATGCTCAGCAATGCTATGCATGTTAAAGAGGAGAATGGAGCACCAGAATGTGGAATATCTTTGGATGGTACATGGCAAGAGAGGCCGTGATATGGGAAAGATGTCCGAAGACCACATATGTTGAACAAGAGACAGTTGCTCTTGCTACATACTTGGCTATAATTAAATTTAATGATGAGGACATAAATTTGTTAAAGATATTAAGTGAACTGGACACAACTCCTGGAATGTTTCAAGGTAAAGGGGCTCAAGAATGTGATCATCATCGGATAAGGTTGTCGGCAAAGAAGAGCTCAGAGAAGGTGAAGAAGCAAAGAAAAACATTAAGAAACATTAGAAAGAATTATATTGACAATGCTAAACATAAGCAAGGAGTTACTTATGTATGAAGCTGGCAATTTTTAGGGCTTCCAGAGGTATAATATAGGTTACGTAAACTTTAAATGCTGTTTTCTCATTTTAGGTGTTTTTAGCACGTAGTAAGAACTTTGTGACATCATAATATCTTTGTTATTTGTCAGAGATGACTGAAATTTTGTATGTTGAAGGCTAGTAATATTATCTAATGCTTGACATTTTTCAAATTTTGAAATTTTGCATTGATGAAATATTTACTCGTTATGTCATAAAATGTGTACCAAAAATGCAAAATTACTGAAGTAAATCAAATTTTGGAATATATTTTTGTTTATAAAGAATTAGTAAAAAATTGAAAAGTGTCAAGCACTAGATTATGTTCTAAGCTTTAAAAAAAAACATTACTCATTGAATTTGGATCATTGGTTCCCAAGATATCATGTTCGCAGCGAAGTTAATTTATTGGCTAATTAGTGGCCGCCATGTTGGATAATTAGTGTAATTAGTGATTTTCTAATTTTTTTATCCATTAGTTAATTCTCTTCATTAAAGTCTTTCAAATACTGATAGTTTCTTACAACTATCTTTAAAAATGAAAAAAATTCAATTTTTTGTATATGACAATTCATTTATGAAGATTACAAGTAGAATCTTAGAAAGGAATAAACAAATATTCATGATCAATTAGTATAGAAGCGTTCTTTTTAAATACAAGTCATTTGTGTTATAAAAAGCAATTATACATCGTTTCAGATTATTGCAAAACATAGATAATATTTACATTCTTTAATAGCAGGAGGTAAGACATTCCAAGAAATAGTACCAATAAATTTAGGTACTATTTGGTAGAATAAGTATACTTCTTCTGTAGAAAACTATAGCAGGTGGAAACAAGCAATCATCCTTACGACCTTCAACATCTATGTGCAATTTTCTCAACAGCTTTTTGAATTTACTATTAAAGTTTGAGTTGATGTATTTATTCAGGAACATTAAGTTTTAAAAATTGAATTGTGCAATCTAAACTCTCAACAATAGCTAAAGTTCCTGTATTCGAATGCATAGTTATAATAGACTCAAAATAACGTCCGTGAAATTTAGTGCATACTTTAGCACTCTTTAAATCTACAGCAACCAATGAATGATTAAACACTGCAATGCAATAAGATTTGTGTACGATTAGGTTGGAGTCCCATAAATATTTACTGACATCATGCAAAATGGCATTCACATCACCATTCTCGTGAACATTAATTACATAAATGCCCTTACTTTTGATGCCTTCGCAAAATGCCATGACCGCTTGTTTACTATCACTTATACAGCAGTTGAACTCTAGATCATTTACAGTTATCTGTTCTCGAACAAATTTTTCAATGACAGCTAATTTGGGTATTTCTGCAGTATGCCAAGGTTTCAAGTAAAGTTCATTGTTGGTATTTCCCCAATTCAATAATGTGTATTCTGTTTTGTTTACAGTTAAAATAACAGAATTATCAGGTGATACAGCTGCTGCTTTAAATTTTGAACTATCAACAGGAAGTCTTTCGTTGTATTGTATCTCACCCTTAGTAATTCTAACAACTTGAACAAAGTCTTTATATGGCCAAAAATGCATAAGGACTTTACAAACTAAGACATCACCAAATGTTAAGATTTCCTTAGGTTTAAATCCAATGTTAACATGCTTTGCTTTAGTAGAATCTACAAAATTTTCAGACGAAGTTGATATCTTCATGAGATGATCAGAACCATCCCATATCCACAGTAAACCATCTGACCACCAACATCCTAATGCATTCTTCAGTTGCATTGGTACAGTTTGAATAATAGTGCAACGTTCAATGCTCCAAATATGAATGTTGACGTGGTCACCAACAGCGAAAGCAGCAAAAAAAGATCCATCCGGTGAAAAACAACAACATTTAATTCTAAATTCCTCAAAGATAAATGAAGGTCTCCAAAGATGATCAGTTTTGAAAATTTTAAGCATGGAAAAAAACGGTACAACGTAAAATTCCTTTAACGAGATTCGATGGACTTTGTCAAGAGTCCTAAGAACACATGGACACCTAACATCTGGTAAACAAAACTCCATTTCTCCTTGATTTGAAACTCCATTTCTCCATTTCTCCTTGTATTTTGTCAACTGAGTGATTTCAGAAAGCTTTCCATTCTGGCTTGTATGATAAAAAATACAATCACGATAATGGTGTCTTGTCATTATATGTGCAGGTAGTGGACAATACTTTTTACTTATATTGATTGACTTTGGGAATTGAAAAACATCCGAAGTCTCGTCGAATTCTGCAACACAGAACTCTGAATATTTATCGGTGCATTGTAGTTCTTGGTAATCAACAACGCAGCGTCGATCGATTCTTTGCAAAGTTAATGAATTCCATGCTGTGAACACATCTTTAGAATACCATTCAACATATCTTGCTGTAATAAACAAACCAGAATCTGAGAAAGAGCAATGATTAACGACATCATGTGACTGTAAACATAATAACAAACTTCCATTGTTAACGTCCCACAACTTTACCTCAGTAGATCCATCACTGGTTACCAGTCTATTTCCGGTAGGTGAAAAGGAGCAACAACAGATGTTTCCACGTACAAAACCAAATTTCTCTAATGTTGGATAATTATAGTTGTCATACAGTAACATACATTTTTCTACATCATTCCACTTATCCAACCTTGAAACATCGATTGCAGTGCCTAGAGTGTATCGTTGCTCGAATTCAGGAAGCTCATAAATAGATATTTGACCATTTTCATATCCTGCAGCAAGAAGTTCTTCATTGGACGACACACAAAGAGATGTAACGTTAGCACGCATGGAGACAGTCAAATGATGATGGTTTGTTAAATATGTTGAGTCTAAATCCTCAAACCAAACAAAATTTCCTTGTTTCAATAAATTCCTTGCCAATAATCTTTTTTCGTTATTGCCATGAATGCTGTTTGCAATAAATTGAAGATAACTTATGCTTTCATGTAATTGAAAACAACTTTGATAAGTAAAATTAAAATATTGGAAAACTTCGAGCATGCTCAAATGGAATAGTAGTTTCTCAAGTACATTTTTTTTTAAGAAAGTAAATCGTTCCTTAATGATTTCAGATAATTCAAAACCAATGGTTATTAACCGCACGTTAATGCCTTTCACACGCATTAACCTCGAAAATGTCACTTTGACATCTACTGCACAGATAAAGTCAACATTTTCGCCACATTCTGACAAATGATAAATTCCATTCTCCAATGCATATTCAATCATAGTAGTGTTCATCTGATCTTCAAAAATGTTCATCGACTTGATGTGTTCAAACACTTCCTCACAAGCATGCCATAAAAACTTATGACCATTTTTTGGATCAACTGTAAACTCATGCTCTTCATAACCATCTGATTTCAACCAATCAATTAGAGATTTGTGATACACGGTTAAACAATCATTGTAAACTGGCAAAATTTGAGATAACGGTTCAATGATTTTACTGCGGACTTCAAACTTGATGTCACCAGAAAAACCTAAATAGCCAAGCAATAAAGTTAATGGTAAAGACTCCCGACAGGCAGCCAACAATTCAAGAAATTGCATGAAAGTAGTTTCTGAGATAACAGAATTTCTGGTACTTTCCTTCGTTAACAATTCTTTTACTCTTTTGAATTGCTTTGTGTAAACACTGCTTAACCCACCAGGGACCAATTGTCTAATGTTTTGGTAAGTAAGCTCAATATTTTCTTTATTCAAGCTCAGTTGTGCGTGGTAAGCGTAAAGAAATGATCCCTCGCATTTTTCAACTAAAAACTGAAGAACGTAGCGATCTTCTTGTACCTGATTATTTAACTGAATTCTCAAATACTTGTGCAAGTCTTTTAAGTTGTTTTCATCACGAGGACGAATTGTAATTTCCACGGGATTCATGTCTTTCAACTCCTTTTGAACAGGAAGTTCTGGACGACTGGTGATGAAGATTTTAATCCATTTAGGCAGTCTGTCAAACTCTTCTGCAATTAATTCTAACAATTCACTTTTGCCATCAACTTGGCTTTCATCTAAGGCATCAATAACCAAAAGCATTGGCTTATGATCTTCCAATGAATGCAATGGATTATTTAATAAAACAAGGAATTTATCGGTGATCGATTCTTTGGAATTGTTTCTCTGTAATTCTTCATTCAGTTTACTTTTAAAATTTGATATTGTATCACACATGCTAATAGCCAATGATTCTATCAACACTCGAGGATTTCTATAATCTGATCTATTATATCTGCAGAAATGAGAAGCAGCAAGTTTCTTCTTTTCAGAATATCGTCGACACACCTCAGCAGCAAACACACTTTTACCAACGCCAGGACCGGCAATCAAAATCATGACATTAGAAACATCTTCGTTTTTGTCGGTAAACCAAGTGTCAAGTTTTTCAAATAACCATTGTCTAGTGCCTTCAAGGTATTTCTTGTTAAGATCTTTTATAAGACCATTAAAATTGCACTTTCTAAGCTTCTGAAGATCTGAGCATATTTTGTCCTCTAGCATTTCTACATCAGCTTTTGTTGCCATGTTTTCTTTAATTTCTTTAACTTTATTTTTCATAACTTCAAAATCTTTTTTTAATTCTGTTACAACCTCTTTAGTTTCTTCAGCGACATCGATTAACTGCTTTTCTTTTTCATACCAGTTTTTCAATAATTCAATATGGTTTGCTTCATCAGGACTGAGGGGAGCTTTCTTTGCTTCATCTATTTCAGTTTGTTGAATACCCAGACCAACCAATGCTTTTGAAATTTCCTGCCACAAATGCTCAAACTCACTGTCGTTTACACTAGTTGTGGTTATGTGACCGTACACTTTGTTTCGATACAACTTTATTCTTGCAATATTTGCTGAAATTGAAGTATCTGAAGGTGAAGGATTATCCCATCCACCATTTGGCGGTGCTAGTCTACATATATTTCGCAATAAGACAGTCAATAATGAGATGTCAAAGTTGTCAATGTCAGGTGATGAGCCTTTTGATGGGTAAAGAAGCTCCCATTGCTCTTTACTGATGACACTTTTGTTTTTTAATAAAGTCAATTTGTTCATTGTTGAAAGATCTTTAAGTTCTTTGATCAAACTTGATGATCGAAAGTTAAAACTAAATTGCAATGTTGTTTTCAAAGCTTGGGTTCCTTTATTTATCAAAAGTTTACTTAAACGAGATCCATTCGCCTCAATCTTCAGTTTATCAGGTGGTGAAGCCATTTTCAAACAAGAAATTTATTTAGAATATATTGTTGTGAATACTCTGACTTACTTTTAATGGAGAATGTTTGGTTTTAATTATGAAGCATTTGTTTGAACTTCAAACTAAAAACAAGAAAAATAATGGTACAAAAATAAGTTACAAAACTTTAAAATGAAACAAATCAACGGCCAACTGAAAAACTTACATCAAAGCTCAAATATAAAACGTTAGTAAAATCTGTGATACAATATAACGAGTAGCTAAACAATAATGTTTTAAAATCTATGTTTTGTAAAATTTTACTCACCAAATATGACCAAAACGACTATTTCTACATTTCAACATTCATTCCTTCGTTCCACAACGTAAATTCACAGTTTTATAATGAAATATTTCTTCATTTTTGTCTTTCGTTGTATTGTAGTGTAGACGTGTGTATTCAAATGTAAAGGATGAGCTCATCACGAGATGATTCTTATTCCCTTCCTTGTAACTGGATACAGCTGAAAAGTAGTTAACGATCATGTTCATTGTCCACATATGGTTCTCACCAGATTTATGTTTTTTACATAGACTTTTATAATAAATTACCAATTTGATTCTGAAAAGTTATTAGAATAGAAAATAGGCCAAAATGTATCCAAATATCGATCCAAATGGCCATTTTTTGTCAAAGGTTGAGTTTCAAACCAAAGATCAGCAGCTATAGTCAGACAATAGTTGGTACTACTTGAGTCAGTCATTTTCAAACGAATAAAAGGATCATTAAAAAAATACATAAATTATGTTGAATTCTTTGTGGCTTTAACCATTTTGTGCTCATAAAAATTGGAAAAACTAAAAAACAGCAAAAGAAATGAGCAACAGGCAGTTTTTCTGGCCACGTTACCTGGTTTGTCGTAAATTTTATCAATTTATCAATAATAATATGGACGATGTAAAACTTATCAGAATAAAATAGTATACGGAAGAAATGTTCATAAATATGCAAAACAAGTGAAGTATCTTTCTCTTTCTGTAAGCATGAACATTACTAAAGAAGTAAGAGCATGGTAAAATGTGAACTATTTACGTTAAATTACGCACATGCATTTGTCATGGGAAGTTCAAAGCATTGAGTTACTGAGGAAGACCTTCTTTTCAATCGTGGCAAAGAGGAAACTTTGTAATTTTATATTGTTGAATGTTTAGTATATATAGAGGCTGCAAACGCTGTTTCTGGTTGTTTCAATACGCCTTTTTGATTGTCGCATTTTATCGACGCATTTGATTAATGCATTGTAACGCATTGAGTTGAAGTCTTGAAGAGACGAATTGGATAAGCATTTTTTGATTTTAATACTCGTGGTAATGAACCAACGTTTGTCGTCAAAAGAATCGTGATTTAGCATCCCGCACAACAGAACGCTTAGGTTGTGCGACAATGGCACTATAAATCTATAATTACCTATCAATGTGGTAATGTATAATTGATGCAAATCGTTCGTGGTTGATTTAAATAATAAAATATAGTCGTTTTGATAGGTAAACAGATCATTTGTGTTTATATGATGAAACGCAATTTGATATACTAAGCATAAATGTATATTATCGTATTGTCCAATAGATGTAGCACTATTTATCTTATAGTTTCGTTTCACGTTGATTTTTCTTTTCTCAGAATTTAAAATCATCTTACATACGGTATAAAATCATCTGTGTATCTACTGAAAATGTCGATACACAGTCAATATATCCAAGTGGACGAGTATTCTGCCATTTAGTCAAACCTTACAATACAACGAGTAGTTAAATACGGCTTTAAAATCAATGTTTTACACAATTTTACTCACAAATATGATCAAAGCGACTATTTCGTCATTCCCACACTTATTTTTTCGTTCTACATCGTAGAGTCACAGTTTTATATTGAAATATTTCTTCGATTTTCCCTTTCTTCGTATTGTAATGTACACATCATTGAAATGTAAAGGATGGGCTCATCACGAGATCATTGTGATTCACTTCCGCACTTGTAACTGGATACAGCTGAAGAGTAGACAATAATAATGTTCATTGTCCATATATGGTTCTCACCAGATATATATTTTTACAGAGACTTTACCAATAAATTACCAAAGAAGAGATCAGTTACACGAAGGTCGAATAACGCTATCCATTGAACTGAGTAGCAACGGTTTTGAGCGCTTCAAAAATATCTTAAAAGAGAAAAATCAAAGATTCGAACTGAACAATAAATGAAATACAATATTGGTTCTAGAATTACAAAGTTTCATCATCATAAACAAAATATAACCATGCACATTCACAAATTTAAAAAACTACTATCCAATGGATAACGCTATCCAGGCTTTGTGCAACAGGCTCCAGTATAAATTTTAAAAAAATTTGAAGAGAATAAAAACCAAAAATTGTCCAAATGGAAATGACCAAACTATTTTTCCGAAATTCCAGGGTCAAAGATCAAGAGATGTATTGATGTAATAGGTACTAAGCACCGATCGGCATAACAGACCTTCAATTTCTTATTGTTGTATTGTAAAGAATCTACGAAAATTTTTACAAAACTTTTAGATTCAATAAATGATTAACTTCATTAAAATACCTTGAAAAATATGGGTATGTACCTCATACGGTTTTGATACACGGTTGGATACTCTTTTCTGTGATGATTTTTGTAAGTAATTTATAATAACTTCATAAAACAGAAAATTTGATAATTAAATTAATGTCCCGTTTTTATAAAAGATCAAATTGTCTTCCTAGCATATTTTTTCTTATATTTATATAACAAGTAGCTCTTTCCCTTGAAAGAGACATCGTTCCTGCAAGTTCAATATAGTACGAGAATATTTTTTGTGAACTCTATGTTATATCTGGTGTAGGTGACGTAATATTAAAAATAATAAAAAATTAGACTAAAATAGTAAAAAACATATGACGTTACCCTCGTTAAATTCGTCAAGGATATATCATTTCCCTCATTACATACTATAACAGTTTGAGATTACTTTTATAAACATTTTATAATTTGTATTTGAACGTTCACAACAGTATTTATAACAGTAAAGCGACTGCAAATAGTCTCGATAATTCTGTCAATTAAACGCCTCTCTGGTTCAATAGAGTCTGGTGTATTCCCAACAATATGACCATAAGCAATGAGTTTCTAAGAACAAAGAATATGAAATATAGAACTTTATATAAGATGAATACATGACCTACATAGACATATGGAGGGATAAAGGATTTTGGTGAAAAGACACATGGGAACTTGGAGGATTGGATATGAGTAAGTACTGTGGACAGATAAGGATAGCAATAATGACAAATTTTTTGAAGTATGGATCCTCTAGATTATTCTGGGAGGAATTTAGGAGGAAAGTAACAAAAAATGTTCCTTAGCAACCTTATTTTGCGCTATCCAATTGTAATGGTTTAGAGACAACGAAATGACAATGTTTCGAGATTAAATCTATTTCTTACAACTAAAGACTCCAAGTGTCCTAACACATCAAACAAAAACAACTTACTTGTATACAGTCAAGTGCAATGGTAACAATCCTGGCACATTATGTTTGACAAACTTTTTCCTTGATTAAATTTATTCCTAACAACTAAAGATGTCAAGTGTCTTTTCTGTATATTAGATATTCTGTGCTTCAGCTAAGAACTTTGTTATGCCACCAAGGGGAACTCTGGCATAACAACATTACGACAAAGCGATTTATCTCAGTATTACCTACAATGACCGTAATTACAACTGACCTGTAATTCAGCCATAGCATATTCATCTTCTCGCTTGCTGGTGCTTGGGAAAAAGACAATATTGTCGATCATTTGGATAAGTTCCAATTGAACGACACACTTAATGATCAATGAATTGAACAGCCTCTTCTCTGTCTGCACAACTAAAATAATGAGATGATTTTACGACGTTAAAGTACATACATGAAAAAATTTAAAAATGTCACTCGGGTGTTGGTTGAACATTTCCGTATTCACGCTCAGACGATTTTTTTCATTTGTCGGTAAAAATATGCCAAACAAAGGGGTTAATTTATCTTATTAGAAGATTTTCAAACGCATATATCAATTATAAGTTTTTCCTACGCCTTTCCAACAAACCAAAGTAAATTAAACACGTAAATGGCAGCAGGCTGTGACAACAAATTATTAATCTCAATTGATTTCTAACACATAGTTACCTGGTTCGTGTTCTTTGACAGGTTCAAATCGTAAACTAGGCGTACTATGTAGACTAATGCTGTCTTGTTCCTTGGTTTCTTCAACTGTTTCTTGAGGCATTTGTTCGTCCTCGTCTGAAAAATAATACGGAACAATTTTCACTTGTTACTCCAAGAATGCAAGCTGTTGGTCCATACGAGTTAAAGATTCACACGAGCTATATTGCAATATGCAAACTTTTGCTTCATATGAGCTTTTGGTTCAAATGAGCTTTTTTAAAATGCGAGCTTTAGCTTACCATGAAATATTTTCCAATCTTATAATTATGGAGACAATTGAAACAAAAATTTTCCTTTAAAAGAATTCAAAAACTTTTTATTTACCTTCCGGATATTTGGGCACGATATCATCCTCCAGGTCGACAGGTGACATTATCTACAAATATACGTCAATTTTAAGGGTAATAAATACATAAAACAAACAGAATAGTTATAAAAGTTTGTCTATAATTTTAGGGTGTCGGGCTTTAAAACTTCATAAAATTTACTAAGGGGCCGATTACTAGATCCCGGTAGCCGGGATTCAGCCAAGCGTTAAATGATTTTGGCAAATGGAAACAATTCAATACTTATCATCAGATAAATTTTCTCAAGCAATTTCACAATATTTTGATTTAATAACTACGCAAAACATTTAAAATTAAAACAACCATTTTGTCATAATTTGAGAATTACAACCGGAATGAAGTGTGGCGCTTCGCAAACAGTTGTAATTTTTAACCTTGAAGTTTTGGCTCTTTTCAATCACTTGAAATCATCGGGCTAGCTCGCTATCCGGGCAAACTCGCCTCCATATAATCAGGCCCTAAGTGTAACTTACCTTGAGTGGTGATGACGCAGGAGTGACATCAGGTGTGGGTAGACTCATTACTTGTTGGTCAGCGGGTTTCCATTTCAATAGTTCGTGAGGTACGGTTGATTCAAATATCGTCTTTACACATTGACATGTTTTTTCCCAGACGTCTTCCGAGAACGTGTTGCCATTGGATATGACGAGATTTTCCAAACAATTGGTACCAGACCTCGCTAAATGCTCGTTATCTAAAGACATGTATTGAATGAACGAGCAAAGCAAGACATGGTGTTTTTACATTTCTTGAAATGTAAAAATATCTGAGAATGAGCCACTGGAATTTATCTTGGCTATATGAAATGTTGTTACAGTAACGTGAAAACATCGCTGTGTTATTTCTGTATGCGAGTTTTGAAATTTGAAATTTTTTAACGCATTAATGACATTGCCATCATTCGAACGACTTTCGTTTTCTCTTAAATGTCCAGTAAAGTCTCCTACACAAGAAAATGTTTTGTGAAAAAGTTGTTTAGTAATATGTGTGGTTTTCCTACCTCGAAAAAGTATAGTTCTAAAGCTCCACTTACAGTGGAGCCTGTAAGAAACTCTGATACTTCTTGTATACTAATGTACCTCAAACCAATCACAAACTCTCATACTTCAAACCAATCACAAACTCTGACACAACGAACAAATCACCAAGGCAAATGCCAAGCACAAACACGTAGCGTAATCTCAAGCTTACCTTGTTTGACACACCACTCTAGATGGCCATACATATCATCAAGAAGAATTTCAGCAAGAATATCAAATACCTGAGTAAAAACATCGATGATAGCATATAGAGCGTGATTACAAGTTGTTGTCATCCATTCTGATTTCTATCAAGAAACATCCCAAATTTCAAAACATTCACAGCTGATGTCTCATTTTAGACAAAACAGAGCGATTGATTGAAAGAATTCCTTTGTAAAATTATTCGTAAAATTTCAACTTGGAAAAGAATCTGCAAAGTCTGCCACAAATTTTGTTTATTTGAAAGAAAGATTTTCAAGCTGCAAGAAACTTTACATTTTCTGATAGAATTGACTCTTGCATAAATTTACCTGTTTTTCTTCACTATGTATTCAAAGGGTCGGAGAAAATCCTTTTGAAGTCGGAAATTTGGCAATTCGCCTTTTTCCAAGAAATTCATAGATAATTGTCGCAAAGAGTCGACACAGAAGAACGCAACTTCTTCATTAGGGTTACAACAACACTAAAATGGCACATAAATTATCTAAGATGGAGAAGTACCATAGTTGGTAGAACATTGGAGATGAAGGCATTGATTATCTTGTTTTTATACGTGACATATGAAAGAAACTACAACTGTGTTTTAAAATATCATCATAGTTCACAGTTGATCTTGTAGTTTAGTTGGTAGAAGATTGAAGACAATGATTATCTTGTTACTATACCAGAGTACATCATAAAAACGTGATGTTATTATCCATAATATCAAGATACAATCTTAGTCGTTAATCATCGCTAACCTTGTTAAAATGATCTCCCAACACAGTCCATATTCGTGACCATTGCAGCCGAATACGACCCATATTGTAATATACAATCTCTACGATCTTCTGCAGACTAAACATACTTATCATTGTAGGATTGGAAAGCTCAACTTCCGAGACTTGACGTAAGCCTTCCACGAAATCGACTTAGGACAAAAACGAAAACTATTTGAGATTTGGGTACAAGAGATAACCATACTTGGGATTTGAGAACTGGGGATTTGGATACTGGGGATTTAGATAGTGGATATTTGGGACACTGGGGATTTAGTATTTGGGAACAGGGGATTTGGGTACTAGAAATTTGGGTACTTGGGATTTCGAGTATTGGAGATTTGGATACTTGGGATAAAGGATGGTCAGTGAATTATGGTCAAGTTAGATGTACAAAAATATTATGTAAGATGCAGTTTAATGTATACATGCAAACCTACCGATAGCATCACCATCCAGTTTCACTGATCCCGTGAAAACTCTAAACGAAATAAAACAAAATGAAGAAGTTGAGATGAAGATATTCTGCTGAGAAAACATAACGTATGGACAGTGCAGGAGTTCTTCAAAATTTTATTTTCATGTTTATGTTCAAGGTTCTCTGGTTCACTTGAGCCTGAAGATGACTACCGCTAATGATGTCAAAACGTCAGTCAATAATGTTATGATACAACACACTATAAGCGTCACAACAATGTTATAAGCAACCTGAGGTTATATCATAAAATGTCTTGTTGCTTGCGGTGAATGCTGTGAGTGAAGGGTATGAAATACGGTCAACAAATCACTTAGAAAAATGAAAAGTAAAGACTGTAGCAATATCGTGAAGTTACCACTACAGATAAGACCTAGACTTTTTCCTTTGATGAAAAAAACAATCGATCAAATTTTCAGTCGTAGACACCAGCCATAATATATAGCAAGATGATTCTCTCTACCTCGAGCCAAAACTTCCTGATGTAAGTACAATCCGTTTGAGCGATGGTAAAAGTATCTTGATCGTCTCGTTGTTCTTCGCTTTCATTTCATGAATATGTGTGCCACTGGTCGCAGTAAGTAAAATGAACCTGGATAGCGCTTGTACAAAAGCATCTCTTTCCAACTACAATGTGAAAAGAGTTATTAGGAGTATCGAAAAATGAACTTAATGGTAAAGAATCTCCATTCATATTCCCTAACATCATTGTAACTAACTGTAATCATTGAAAAACTTTTAAGAAAAGATTATTTCACATTCACGTGCATCCTGATATATCCATATATGTACACAAACAGACAATTAATTCAAAGGTAACAAACTTCTGTTTTTATTGTATACATATGAGTATCATCTAAACCTTGAACATATAACACGCAAAGAACACGACGTGTATGTAACTACGTAAATATATTCATAAATTTCAACAATTCAACTTTCAACATATTTTTGAATAAATATTTATGTCCGGAAAAGGGTCACCAGGGGATGAAAAGGTATGCACAGGCGTTAATGTCGCTATTTCATACCCAAATATACAAAAATGAACAGAATGTTGGGTGTTTATCAACTTACAGGCATGCTGAATATGCAAGATATTCGTATTGCACAGCGGATTCCATCAAGACAAAATGAAGCAACAGAAGGATTGTCGTTGCCTTGTAGATTGACGTTGAACGCGGCAAGAAACGGACTCCATGCAACCTTAAACACACAAAACAAAATGGTCAACAATGGGGACTGGGGCCGGTTGTAAGAAGCAGATTTAGCTTAAGTAGTGGATTATCTCAATAGAAAATCCAGTCAAATCATTCATTGGTCAGCTAAAATATTAGATTATAAAACAGATTTACTCTTCGTCATCGCAAACATTCATTACATAAAATCTAAGTCTTTTCTTTAACAAGATTAAGATGAATGTCATCATGTTTTGAAATCTACGCCACCCGTACTTGGCACTGTCCATATAAGTTGACATCACAATTAACGCTTCGTTAATCAATCCTTACATACACCACATACATTATCCTCCAGACTCCACCCCCTACCTTGAACATTGTCTTCACGTGACCATTCTGTGTCGCCGTGACAAAATTCGCCTGAATATGACTCACGTCATCCATTTGTGTTTTGGCGTTTTCCGCCATCTCCCACATTTCCATAGAATACAATATACGACGATGTTTCTCACTTTGCAAATCTGTAAAGTGGAAGCACAATAAAAATCTCTTTACTTTCATGAAAATGCATTGGAGCTCTCTTAAGACCAACACCGAACATCACAATATCCATTATAAGCCCCTTTCCTACACCCATCTCAAGACCAACACCTCCATCTCAAGACCTTCACCTTCATCTCAGAACTAGGACTCTACACTTCGCAGTCAACACCTTTACCTAGCATCTGTACAATTTTTTCAGTTAAGCCTTGATTCTCGTATTAATGTTCCAATACATACGTGTAGCATCGTATCTACTGTTCACTTTTGGTGTATGTTTCATCTTGATTTCATTCTGTGCAATATCATCATAAATTGCTTCAAGATATTCAGATGGAAGATCTTTACTGTCATTTATACCACGATTTATTTGAATGTACTGTTCTTTCAATATTTTCCGTTTAACCTAAAACAAAATTTCACATGATTACGATGTCCCCACTAAAGGCTAGTTTGTCACGTGATAGTAATGAAGGTTCCATATCAACGCCATGAAAATCTCGCGTGACCACAATGGAGTCACTTGATCTTAGACATAAAGTCACTTTTATAGAAAACCATTGCAAATAAAGTAAGTCTGTGTAACCTGTGAACTATGTAGATCAGTAGTCAACATGATGATAGAATAAGCCAGAACGTAGGCAGCGTCTGCACAAGCAAACACATCGTCACTAAAATATAAATGAAAAATATAAAATAAAAGTTTATCATAGACAGTCTAACCTAGCTATATCAAGACATGTTTGTACATGAGTAAGGTTGTAGAAACGTCAGTCAACATCAACAACAACAGTCCTTCTCAGGACTCTACAATCCTGGATGATCTACATCTATAAACATGTAACAATACTCCCAGTTCAAACAACTCACTTTACATCTATCTAACAGCAGATTGCAGTCCTCAAAACTCGAATGATAAAAGTTCGATGTGAAAATACTTAAAAAAAACAAAAATCGTCAAAAAATAGTCTTAAATTATTGTTGATGTTAAATGAAAAAAAAATTAACACATGGTTCATAGACAAAAGTCATTACGTAAGTTTCACTAACCAGCATGCAATGCGAGATGTAAAACAACAGATAACAAGACACAAATCATGTCCTTACTTTGGGTTCGTTTCACAGAACCTACTCGCAAACTTCTCCATGAGTCGATCGATCTTTTGCGCTTCACCGGGAAGCCGGAAGTTATGTAAGCCGGAAGTAATCGCAGAGCTTGCACAAGATTGGTACCAGTGAAATCCAACTGATCTATATAGGCGTACATTATCTCCCGTTCATATCTAAGAAGTATAGGAAGACACGAGGAACAGTTGAGGTTATGAAGAACAGTTGAGGACATGACGAATAATAGATCTAAGTCTATTATTGTTTGCTTATTTTGAACAGTAGCAAATCTTACTGAATTCTGTCAATATTATTCACTGGATGGAGAAATTTTGAACATATAAAAAGATTGTTTTGCTTTTTATGGACAAAATAACCAAGAGATTTGAAGATAATGCTTAGTTTCAAACAGCTTTTGTCCTTTTACATGGAGTTTAATGCAACCTTAAACATAATTAAACATTCTTGATTTTACGATTAAATTTTCTGATTTACTATTTCATGTATCATGAGCAAACCATCCATGGGCTTCATGGCAAATTAACATAATCAACTTTTCTTGACTCAATTTATGTTGAAATAAATACTTAAGATGAGAATCAAACGTCTTAACGCGATTTTCACGTGTTTGTCACGCGAGAGAGATGTGAAAAAACATACTTACTGTCCTGGATCACCAATCAGCTCACCAATCATAGTCTAAAACCATATAACGCAACACTGGGTCAAAATCTAAAGCAACATTTAATGTTTCTACAAATTCCTCAAAGATAGCGTGAAAATGTGACAAAATGAAAACTTTAGTGAAAGAAGACAACATCATGTGAAATGAAACATAAGGATTGCAAGGGATATAGATGGTCTAAAATGATCATCATTTTGTCTAGTGTATCATAAACTAAACGATTGCAAGGGATATAAATGGAGTACAATGATCATCACCTTGTCTAGTGTATCATAAACAAAAGGATTGCAAGGGATATAGATGGTCTAAAATGATCATCACCTTGTCTAGTGTATCATCTGTGTGTAAGAATTGAGCAACTTTAGTTGCTGTCTCACCAATGAGACCTTCAGATTGAAGAAATTTTATACCTTTTGATGGATTCTTGTTTAATCTTAAAGTAAATCGTAAAATTGAATAAAGTACAAAAGATAAGCAAAATTGTTGACCAAACTTACAATTGAATTCCCTTTTCTTTCGTCTCCTTCTTCTGTTTAAGACTCTCAAATTTATCAGCATTATTGATGGCTTTTGTACTATTAAGAGACGACTGACTACCCGCCGTTTTTTGAGATTGTAAATCACCGGGTTCCCCTCCGTTTTCATTCTCCTCGGTGCTTCCTTTTCAAGAAATTGTTGGTGCATCATCAACCAGATCTGTCAGGAAATTTATATGGAAGAGATTAAACAGAAGTATTGAGGAATAACTATGATGATTTGGAGATCAATAAGGGATCGCGTGGATCATTAAGAGGTTAGCATAGATCATTAACAGATAGCCTAGATGATCTGGAAGATAGTATAGATTATTGAGAGAAAGACTAGAACATTGACGGTAGCATGGTTCAATAATGAGTAACTACAAACATTAAGATATAGCCTTGATGCACCGCGAGACCAGCAAGGGTAAAAAAGATAACTAAGGGATAACTTAGATCCTGAGAGGTTAACTACAATTGTCGAACAACTAGTTACGATTAAGAACATTAACGTGTGTATAAGAAAATAATGGAGTACCTTCGATAAATAGGGGATACAGAGTATAGAAAGATGGAATCTTGATGGAGACAAAAATCGTCAGTGTAGCCAATATCAAAAGAGGGGTACAATGGATCATAAAGCGATAACTTATCGAAATGTATAACAATATTAAGTTTATATTCGCTACATGCGAGTTTCTTTAATTTCATAAAGATGTTAAAACTCACCAAAATTATCGTCCACCTGAGAATCAGGTTTAAAGTAAAGATCCCTGCTCCATTCTACCATACATTTAAGAATAGAAACGAGACATTCCAGACCTTTGATACGAATACTGCGTTCTTGAACCTGGAAAAATCATATAAAAATAAGACGACATTCATACTATTCATATAAAAACGTGATAAAAAATGTATTTTAATCAACATTGTCAGCACAAAATATTAGAGACATGTTCTAGTCCTTTTCATGTTAATAGACTATGTTCCAGTTTTTTCATGTTGATATACTATGTCCCAGTCCTTTTCATAATAATAGACTATGTTCCAGTCCTTTTCGAGTAGCATGCATATGAACAAGAGAATGTAGAGAAGTAAACATTATGAAACATATTCATCAACTTACTGGTGTCGCTCCTAATTCAATGCCTTGACGTCCTTGACAACTTTAGACAAATCATTGATCAATCTTTGAAAGATATTCGACAAAGCCAATTCACAGTCGTAATTTAAATATATATCAACAACCATCTGTGCGTCTGCAATAAAGTACACAAATGAACATTAATGGCTAATATGAATGGATATTAATGGATGACAAGAAGATAAAATCAAAATTTAATTGTTGGTATATTGATAATTAGTAAGGGAAAGGTTACACCTCACCTCTTGTACACCCACGAAGAAAATTCGAAAGAGAGAATTGTAAAGATTGAATATAGGATGGGATTTGGAAATAAAAGATGCTTAATTTTTGTACATGGTTAAGCAAATGGAAGAGACATTTGGTAGAACTTGAGACAATGTCAGTGCAAGCTTTACACCGAAAGTTGACGGTTTGCACCAGCTAGAGAGTTCTCACCAAAATCTCAAGGTTTGCATAAGCCAGTACAAACACAAAAAACATCTTTTAGTTCTTTTGTAAATAATAGTAATGCGAAACAGACAACTTCAAGAAAAGAGTTTGAAATTTTTCTCTAACATGTATTCATGATTCATTTGCAAATTATCTTTGATTGATATAATTGATGTAGCTCAGATACGCACGTTTGTTCAGGCTAATACAAACACAGTTTAAGTTTTTATTAAGTAAATAGTGATGTCGGATGAATAGCTTTAGAACATTGAGTTTTGATGTCGTTAAACATTCACGGTGTACATTAAAAAATCACAATTGATTTTATTAAACTTTCTGATGATCAGTGAAAGACTCTCAATGAAAACAAAAGGTTTCCAAGGAAATAAATGATCATAAAGTTCCGAAATTTTCATAGCGTGACTAAACTTGAGACCTGACTACGCTACTTAACACAATCGCTTTTATAGAAAATTGATCGATGGTATTTCAAATATTAGTTGTTTATATAAATACCTTGGTAGAAGCGTTCAACCTTTGGAGGTACTTGCCTTCTTTGGCATAAGATAAAACTTCAAGCAAGGTAGAAATGATTAAATATGGTTTATTACATTGAAACAAGAAGGAAAAGTTTCTCCCTCAAATGAAAATACAAATAACAAACTAGAAACCATTGAGCTCTATAAGACCTGGAGGGGCAAAGGGGCCTGGACCCCGTGGTCAAAAACATGGCGGTAATGGCGGATTCAGTGAACTCCATATATATATATATCTGGAATGATAACTACAATACATTTTATAGATATAAAATTGAAGCCAAAGTCCTAGTCTCTTGCGCGGTTTGTACGTCAGTTCCAGTCCTTCAAAGTCTAATATTCACGCGGTTTGTACGTCAGTTTCATTCCCCTGAGTGCCAAACATACACGGCCAATATAAATTTGAATACAAACTGCAAAAGCATAAACATATAAACAACATCACGACAAACAACACACTAGGCCAACTCTTCGCAAAAGGTTATTTTTTACAGCTAAAACTTTACTACAGTGAGTTCGTTGTAACTTACAACTTGTAACGAGGAAAAGCCAACTGAAAATTACACTTTATGCTCAAAAGGCAATACAATAAGAAAATATGACGAGAAAATATTCAAGCATGAATTTTTCTTTCGTCGGAAGGTAAATTTTCAAACAGTGTCAGACAGTGTTTATCTTTTTTGTCGTTTCAATGGATTTAAAGATCTGTTTTTCCGAAGAAAAAAGAAACTGGAATATCCAGGTTCATAAAAAATGTTGAGTCTATAACTCGCATTTTACTTTTTACAGAGGGATTGTATCTTTCATCGATTTTGATAGTGATTGAAATACTAAATGGTTGTCATCTCGATATCAATTATTGAATATCCTTAAAGACTTTGATATGTTTTAAAGGAAAACCGCAGCGTAAAAGCAGATCGACCAAGTTCACCTCACCCTGCTTCTCGATTTATCACTTTGATTCACTTTCCGTGAACCTTTTCATTCCAAAAATTTCGTTATTTTTACGCTCTGATTAAGATCCGAACTCTACCATTACCAAGGGACAAAAGATTTAAAAAAATTAAAATGAACACGCGAGGGACTGTGATGACCATTGAGTTCTATAATAACTGGAGCGGCTATCTTTACTGGGGCGAGGTCGCCAAAAAAATGGCAGCCAACGGACGTATTTCCGCTGAAATGATCGCTTTGCAGAAAAATAATATTCTCGACCTCCCCCTGGTGTCTATAGTAAATTATAAAGAATTTTTCAAAAACAAACACGATATCACAGAATATTGATATCGTTAGTTCCATATTCTGTGACGATTCTTTTTTGGCATTTCTTTTATAATGCCAACACTTCAATCGTTCAATTGTTGGATGTCGTTGTTTCCACAAAAAGGTACATATCGCTTCTCACAGGTGAGGTAGTTGTTTGTTTTGTTAGTCCGTCAACGATTGAAAAGCAATTATACATGCACTTGAAAAGCCATAAAATACATATTAAAGATCGTATTTTTTAAGACTGACTTGAACGCCAAATATACTGATGTTTTCCTGTTTTGTCTATAAAATTCTGCATACTTTTCTGTCATTTGTTAATGCATGAAATCGTAAATTTACCTATCTATTTGCAAAATAGTTTCCCTAAAGCAAAAAAGACCCTGCACACATTTTGCTCTGTGAAAAGTATCAAAAAGAAATGATCAGCCCCATCAGTACCCATGATTTGGAGCAGAGCTTGTTATGTTCTATTTGCTGACAACATGCAGGGAAGACCAAGGAGTAAAGATGACTGGAAGATGTTATTGACCAGGCAGAGTCTTAAAAAAATGATAATGCTGTAAAGATAATTGATTTATTGTCTGCCTTATCCAGAGTTATTTAATTTGATCATGGTCAAATTCTATGGATGGAGACAATGGATTCACTAAGGATGCCTTGAATGCTTTGAAGTTAAAGTTCATGAACCAAAGAAAGATGGCAAGGTTGTGTGTGTTTTGATGCTTAATGAATTGTTAATTCACAAAGATATAAAATGGGAAAGCCATAAAGTTTGTGTCTATGTAAACATTTGTACTGAGATTGATGACTTGATGCAGATGTGAAGCATCAAACTGTATAAGCCATTGGGTTTTATATAACTTAATGTTTAAATCATGTCATATCTTTATCAAAATATTTTAGTTGAGTGTTGTATAAATGTTACTAATATCTAATGCACTACACTGAAGCATTAAAGATTCAGTGATGAAACTTTTAAAGTTACTGTACTGTATATTTCTTCATTATAACAGTTTTTGCTTTAAGAAACAGTTTGAGCTTATTTACCTAGTAAAGTACAGAATGGAGATTTATCAAATGCATTATTGCTACTTTTCTAACGAAAAGTTTTTCACTTTTCAAAGCTTTCCTACAAATTTTTTGCTTCTTATTTCTTTTCATGAGATTGATGATATATGGTTAATATAATCCTAATAACTTTATAAGCTTCTAGCATAAAAGTACACTATAGGTATTTGATTCATTTGGTTATATTGCCTTGCTATGACATATCTACTTGCACTTCATCATTCTTGTATGAACAAAACACCAGATGTGGATACTCAGAGAACAAAATGCACTACCAACTGCTTATGAAATTTATTATTGAGGTGAAAACTGTGTTAATCATTCAAATTGTGTACTTATTTGCAAATATAGGAAAAACAAAACATTTACCGATCAATTTCGGTAAATCTCAGCGGCAAAGGACGAAATCCGCCATTTTTTTGGCGTCATCAGATATCTAAGATAGCCGCTCCAGTTATTATAGAACTCAATGGTGATGACGAATGATGACGACAAATATTTTTTTGGCTTCAATTTTTGGCTTCGGTTATCATTCCAGTTATTCAAATGTCGAGTTCACTGGGCGGATTTTGGTGGTCAAAACTTCCACTTTAAAAATTTTTTTCAATATTCACTCCCTCCTGATTTCAAATACTGTTTGTATGAACGAAAACAAGTGAGAAAAAAAACAATTCCGATGCCGACAGCATATCATGTGAAAATAATGCTTCAGCATTGCGTGAAAAACACAGTACAGACAAACATCAAAATAAAGAAGATCGACGGTAGAGAAACGCATATTTTGGATGTAACATTTAAGTTATTTTATGACATTTTAGCCTTTAAAAAGTGAAAATCAAACGACATTCGTTACTAGACCTGTCAATCTCGTCAAACCTATACATTATTTCATGCTTTTGTGTGTTTGACTGTTTGTAAACAGTTTGGTGCACCTATTTTTCTTGCTTCAAATGGAAAAATCTGTGTAAAAATGCTCCTAAGGAAGCGAGAAAATGTTTGCTTCAGTCCTACGAAATAAGTCAACTGAAAGTTTACCATGGATAAGTATCATATGTGTATTGTCATTACCTGATAAATCTACTGAAAACTCATAAAGAAATTATGTTGAACTAGAAGAGCTACAAAAAAGAAAAAAATTCAAAACACCATGACACTGTTGCTTGGTAATTTGTATTTTGTAAACAGCTTGGCAGAATCTTGGATCTATTACTGAACAGAACTACATTAATTTTCCATTGAAATTACAAACTTGGAAACTAAAGTGCTTCTCTGACAAAAACACTGTCTATTGCTGCATGAAGGCAAAATAGTTATTTGACAGAGTATGTGAAGAAATTTATCGAGTTCTATAGAAATTATTGTGCATTACTTACAGTTTTTTTGGAATTGTGTAATATATGTCATGAACAAGATATAATTTCTCAAAAATGCTAACCCCTTTGAGCACTACTACTCTTCTGTTTTGCTTAAACAACTTACAGCTAACAAAACTAACATTTGGGAATTAAATGATAAACAACTTGTTAAATCTTTGTATTTTACATCAAGCCTTTGAATTAGTTCCTTTTATCTCTTGGTAAAAAAATATTAATGAAAGACTTACAAATCAAGTTTCTCGAAAATAGTATTTTGTACAAAGAAACTAAATAATTGGAAAGGTCATATGTTGAAGACAGACTTTGCTTCTTTGACTAATTTGCTTGACCA